TAGTACTAACAACTACTACTACTACTACTACCACCACCACTCCTACTCCTACTCCTACTCCTACTCCTACTACTGCTACTGCTACTGCTACTACTACTACTACTACTACTACTACTACTACTACGACTACTACTGTTACTACTATTCTGAGACGACTACAGCGACGACGACAACGACAACAGCACTACTACCAATTACTACGACGACGACGACGACGAGGACTACTACTACAACTATTACTACTACAACCATTAGCACTACTAGTATCAGCGTGGCTGCAACTGTCACCACCACCACCGGTACCACTACCACTAACCACTAGAACTGCCACTGCCACTGCCACTACCAACGCCGCCGGTGCCTGCCCAAAGCGTACATTATGAGTTGCACGATGTGTCTTCAAGGCAGACTTGTGTTTGTCACTATTGTCATGTCAATCGCAGCTCCCGTTTTGTTGTCTTCGTGACAAGTACCTATGCTGCTTGCGCATCGCTCGTAGGATGGTGCCTTCGGGCGCGCGTCTGTCTTTTGGCTTGCTTTGGAGCCTGACTTTAACCAGGTATGCGTGCCCCGATTGCGACTATCCTTGCCATGTTGGCGGAGATCATCAAGACGGACTACGACGCTTGCTTTTCGCAATGCATGGGACCGGGCTTGAATCTACGTGATTGGGGATCCCAGAGCAATGCTAGACTGACTGAGGGTGTGCACGGAACGCTATGCTTGGGTTTCTGCTATTTTCCCCAATCCAAAGTGCTAACATGTCGAAGCACTCCTTATGGGGTTGGGATGAGTAATGACGTGCGGCACCCATGACGGTTCTGCGGTTCCCCACCGGCGCAGTGCACGATTTCAGGCAAATCGTGCTCCCGCCAATGAGATCGTGCGCCTACCTTAAATGTTCCGCTGGAACGTTATATGAGTCGAAATGTGCCGCTCGTTGTGCTGGGTTTTACCGATATCGAACTATGCCTCAAGCAAAGTCGGGATCCTTGAGCCCGACGTTCCTGAGCTAAACGAGGGCACCCTGGTGGTGATGGTATTTACTGGTTTGTATCGCCTACGCCGAATCGCAGAAGTCGAGGAACGTTGGCGCATGCATCTGCAAGGTTCATAATCATGGACGCCCCAACACCAGAAGACTCTCAACCTCTAGAACGTTTGCTGCCCCTGAGGTTTACAAGGACCTCCTTCCCGAAGACCTCAAGCCTTGCCTGCTGCATCCTTGAGGCAGCACCACCAGAAGTCATCAGACTGATTGATGAGAAGCCTATCGATCGTGGCGCGACCTGGCCAGCCTGGACCTTCTGGCACTTGAGGTCGTGGGCGGTTTGCAGAGAGTGTATGTAGGGTGCGCAGGCTTATCATTCTCGATGAGGTTTACAGCGGCTGTCTGGCTTTGTTTATTCGATTCCCCAGCGCATTCTCAGTTGCGCCAAACCAGCGTGCAAGCGACACCGGTCTCCGCGACAACAAGGGCAAAGCCTACCTCTGCGCGCGCACAGCATTACACGTGGTAGACCATGCGGCAGGAACAGGGATCATTGTGTCCTGTCTTCTACTATGTAGACGTCATGATCCCGGCCGGATTTCAGCATACATAGATGCTGAATTACGCTGAATGATGCTGACACAAAAACGGGGCAGAGGAGCAGGTCTCCAAGATGTCCTTCAAAAGCTGTTGTTTGGGCATCTTGGGTCTTTGCTTTCGCCTGGATCTCAGCGCAGATGTCGAGCTAAAATGTGGCGGTGCCCAACATCAGGGATCGACGATTATGCCTGGAAAGACTTTCTCAGGCATTTTAGATGTTTGACCGTGCCTGGGTGTCAGCACGAATACTGATGTTTACTGACAGCTTGTTGCATTGGTTTTGTTACTGTGTAGCACATTGGAAGCCGTTTGTCCGAATAGGCTTATGAAGGGATGGACACCGCTCACAGATATGTATCTATGCATGCATGAATGAATGTATGTAAGCACACATATCGCACTTTACAGACGCCACATGCACACTTTGCCGCTGTACTATATAAACTTTCGTCTTTAGATGCAGAGCTTTTTACTAAGTTCTTTGCATCACATACAAAGCTCTGTACCACCGCCGCATGTACTAATGGCAGTATACATACTGCACTCAATGTGTAAATAGAAATCGAAGGCACTACACGTATATACATGTGTGTATATATATAT